TGAAGTTGGACGCTTAACCAACTGAGCCACCCAGGCGCCCCAGTACAACATAACTTTGATTACATTGTGCTTTGTAGTTGTCTGGTCATTTTCACAGAATAGTATTTATTTGATTTTTAGCCTGTGATTTAGAGGAAGGTTAAGAGTGGGCTTAGGTTCATCAGTTCGTTAACGGTCCAACTGGAATTAAAACCCAGGCTTCCTGATTTTCTGTGTAGGAATCCTCCTATTGTTTACAACCGTCCTATCACACACACACACACACACACACACACACACACACACACACACACAGGCAAGGATCTGCCTGTCAGTGGTGGGATTTTCTGGCATCAGACACTAGGGTATGTTGGTCGGCGGAAGTTGATGCTATTCATCAATCAGGGTTGAGAGTTTGGGAATTCTATAAGCTTTGTCGTTCGAGATACTGGACTGGTACTGGACTTAGATACACAGCCCGAAATGTCTTAATTGTTCAGAAATTACAGCTAGAAGTATAGGTCTAGCACCGGAGAGCAAACATTGTTGACAAAATGATGTGCTTCTGTAGTGGAAATGCTGCAAGACAGCATCATACCGTGAATGTAACGTGAGGTGATGGAACGAGAGAATCTGCACACTTTTGTTGGCCTCTGCACACAGGTGCTGTATGCCCATTTGTATTTTCAGTGATTCTCTGTAGCATTCCTTCTCGGGAACATATACCATAGACAAGGCATCTGGACCTTGGCCATAGCTTTATTTGCTCCCTTTGTAAGAAATAATGCAGGGGCGCCTGGGTGGCGCAGTCGGTTAAGCGTCCGACTCCAGCCAGGTCACGATCTCGCGGCCCGTGAGTTCGAGCCCCGCGTCAGGCTCTGGGCTGATGGCTCAGAGCCTGGAGCCTGTTTCCGATTCTGTGTTTCCCTCTCTCTCTGCCCCTCCCCCGTTCATGCTCTGTCTCTCTCTGTCCCAAAAATAAATAAACGTTGAAAAAAAAAATTAAAAAAAAAGAAATAATGCAATTTATATTGTTCATCTTAAAGCATTTGTTATGGATTTCAGAGTATTCTGTATTTGTATTTCTTTCTATACAAGGCAAAGCTGAAGAGTCTGCTGCCCATCCAGACTTTGAATTGGAAAAAATGAAACCATTCATTTATTTGCCACAGATGTATATGATTTCTGCTACTGAAGAAAGTGATAATTTACTTTTTCTTTTACAGAGTGGAAAACCACCCATTAATGATATGTTCACAGACCTCAAAGATGGAAGGAAGCTCCTGGATCTTCTGGAAGGCCTCACAGGAACGTCACTGGTAAGAGGGGTCATCTTTGAGAACCAGGCTAAGTGTCTCTCATCATTACTGATACTTGAAGACCCTTTATGGGTACTTACAGTGTAAAGGCCCAAAATAGGAACATTTTTAGAAAGGTGTTTTAATGAATCTTTGATAGAGTAATATTTAGGCTTTATTGAGGGCTCTATTTTTATCAAAGATAAAATTATTTATTATATTTATTACTCTCAGACAGCCCAGGACAGAATTACAAGGAGGGATGGCTATGTTAAGAGGGCATAATGTTTTGAATAGTAGAAAACACACTTAAATGTTATTTAATAAATATCTTAAAAAGCTAAGAGCTGGGGCACCTGGGTGACTCAGTCAGTTAAGCATTCGACTTGGGCTCAGGTCATGATCTCATGGTTCATGAGTTTGATCCCCACGTCTGGCTCGCTGCTGTCAGCGCTGAGCCTACTTCGGATCCTCTGTCCCTCTCTCTCTTTGTTCCTCCCCCGCTTGCACGTGTGCTCTCCGTCTCAAAAATAAGTAAACATTAAAAAAAAGTTGTTAAATGCTACGCATTTATTTTTATTCGGTTTTCCAGTATTATCTTCATTTCTTCATCAAACCCAATTCTATTATTTTGCGTCGTAAGGTACTTTATACCCACACAGAAATAACAGTGCTAATGAAGAGTATGCTAATGAAGAGATGAATTCCTTTCTTGCCAAAGTGTGGGGTGTTATATACTCTGCCTTTTACCTTCCAGATGGTGGGTAAGGTACCTGTTGGAGAGGCTGATCCCTCTCTCAGATGAGATTCCCTGGCCAGTGAGGCAGAAAGTGCCTCCCAGATCACCTTTCTCCAGGTGTCAATTCCTGCCTTCCCAGGGGGGCCTTGTAATGCTACCTGGAACCTGGGATAGTGCCTCTGAATCCTCCCTGCTCTATGCACACTGACTGGTGCACTATGAAGGTGACATGACTTCTCAGTCTTTCTGTGTCCAGCCCAGTTAAAAATTGTTTTTAATGTTTATTTATTTTTAAGAGAGACATAGTGTGAGCAAGGGAGGGGCAGGGAAAGAGGGAGACACAGAATCTGAAGCAGGCTCCAGGCTCTGAGCTGTCAGCACAGAGCCTGATGCAGGGCTCGAACCCATGAACCTTGAGATCATGACCTGAGCCGAAGTCAGATGCTTAACTGATTGAGACACCCAGGTGCCCTGGGCCCAGTTTTGATAAAAGAAGGCTTTCTCCCTGGAGCATTGGTTCCCAAAGTGGTCTGCACATCAGAATCATTAGGGGAATGTTTTAGAAATTCTAAACCCATACTACCTCCCAGATTCATTAAGTCATCACCTTTGGGGGTAGGGTCAGACATAAGTTTGGGAGTTTTTGAATGCCAGGGTTGAGGCAAGGGAGTGAACTACTATGTCAAGATGTAAGTGGGGTAACTTGCATTCTGTCACCACCAGCCTCCACGGTGGCCTGAGAAGCCAGGCGGAGCTCCTGGCACAGAGGGGCTCCGTGTTGAGCTGTTCTCTGTACGTCTCAATGTCCATGTTTGTTGGCAATGTTGAGGCTGACTTATTTGATCCTGTGTTTTGTTTTCTAGCCAAAGGAACGTGGTTCCACAAGGGTACATGCTTTAAATAATGTCAACAGAGTGCTGCAGGTTTTACATCAGAACAATGTAAGTGTGCAGTGCGACTTTTGGGGTTCTTTGGTGCTATTGGGGTTATTTATTGTCACGCTGGCCACGTGCTCTGTGCATTGTCATTGACTGATTTTTGGAAACATTTTTCTTACAAGTATTGAACCTTTTCTGCGAGCGAGGGGACAGTCACGCTTTTTTTGATTACTTGGTTGATCTATTGTATAAATAATACATTTTTGAGATTTAGGTTTACCTGATTCTCTAAAGTGAAATTTCTCTTATCATTCACTTATATTGCTGTCCAAAGGTGCTAAAACAAAAATCTTGGTTTCTGTGGCAGAATTGTCCTAAAAGTTATTAGTATTATTATTTTTTATTTTAATAGGTGGATTTAGTGAATATAGGAGGAACTGACATTGTGGATGGAAATCACAAACTGACTTTGGGGTTGCTTTGGAGCATCATTTTGCACTGGCAGGTGGGGCAATTTTCAATCACTTTTTAATAGAAATTGAAAATGTATCATTTGTGTGTGTTAGTTGCTTAAGGCCGCCATCACAGAGCACCCCAAACTGTATGGCCTCAACACCAGAAATTTATTTTCTCACAGTTCTGGAGGCTAGAAGTTTGAGATCAATGTGTTAGCGTGGTAGGTTTCTTTCAAGGCGTCCTTCTTTGGCTTGTGGATCACTGCACTCTTCCTGTGTCCTCATGGTATTCCCTCTGTGTGTGTCTTGTCCCGATCTGTTCTTCCAGTCAGATTGGGTTACAGCCCACCCTTAAGATCCCATTTTACCTTAATCATCCCTTTAGAGACCTTATTTCCAAATATATTCTCATTACCAGGTAGTGGGGGTTAGGACTTCAAGAATTTGGGCAGTGGGGAGACACATTTCAACTCCTAGTAATTTGGAATGAAAGAGTCTGACAAACAGCTCTATTTTCCTGGCATAGAAAAGAAGTATATTTCTTTAAATATTAAATTAAAAAAGTTGACGTAATTTCAGATTTATAAAAAAGTTGCAAAAGTAGCTTAAAGAATTCCTGGATACCTTTCATTCACGTCTCTCAAATGCTGACAGTTGTTCTCTCTCTCTCTTCCTCCTTGGCTAAAAACTTGTGTATTTGTAAAAACAAACCTTTTTCCTAAAAGTAAGGAATTCTCTTACATAACTAGAATATAATGTTAATATCATATTATAAAATGTGCTATATACGAGATAATACTAGCATCGTTAAGCATAATTACAATATATGCTAAAAATAATATGTAATTATTAAATCAGGAAAATAATATCAAAACAATACAGTTTTGTAATCTACACATCCTTTCGAGATTTTGTCAATTGCCCCAATAATATCCTTTATAAAAGATAAAAAACAAAACAAGATCATGCATTACATGTATTTCTCACATCTCCTTAGTCCTCTTTTATCTGGAGTAGTTTTTGAGTCTTTCTTTGCATTTCATGATATTGACCTTTATGAAAAGTACCGGACGGTTATCTTGTAGAATATCCCTCCATGTGGGTTTGGCTGGTATTTTCTCATGAACAGATTCAGGTTATTCATTTTTTTGGTACAGAATGCCATAGAAGTGATGTTGAGTTCTTAGCATACCCTATCAGGAAACAAGTGCTTTCGATTAGTTTTTTTTTTTTTTTTCTGGCAGTGTGAACTTTCACTGTTTGGGTTAAGCTGTCTCCCCTGTAATGTGACTGTGCTTTATTATTAAAAAGTATTCTGTGGGGATATACTTTGAGGCTGTGTAAATATTCAGCTACTTACCAAACTTTTTTCCATGGGTTTCAAGATCCGTTCATAGCTCTTACCTGATCAGTTATCATTGTGATGCTTGGCAAACAGTGATTTTCCAGTTTCACACGTTCAAATTGTTCTGAATTTTCAAATTTATTTATTAGTTGTCTTTCTGCTTGTGTGGAAGAGCTTCCCCTTGCCACTTGTTTATGTATTTATTCATCCACCCATTCGTTTATAGACCAGTGTAGACTCATGAAGTTTTACTTGGTAGGTTACTAATCTTTCACTATCTTCATTTATTTTGCACGCCTCCTTAAGTTGGCTCTTGTGTCCTTTTCTTATGTCCACACCATTCTTTGAGCTCTTTCTTATAATATGTGTGTTACTTTAGAATAATCTAAAATATCAATTCTAGATTATAATGGTTTTTACCATCATCAAATGTACTTCATTCTTTGATTTCATAGTTCATCAAAAGTTCTTCCTTTCTCATTTTTGTAGAAGATAAAATTGTTTTCTTCTTATTAAAAGGTATTTGTTAAGTGTTTAGTATGAAAAATTACTTTGTGGCTATGAAAGTAATGTTCACTGTAACCAAACCTAATAGAAGTGTTGCTAAGATACAGAAAATACCATAGTGTATGATGGTGAGGTAAAAATCACCTCTAAATCCTAGTATCATAAAATAATTACTGTTAAAAACATTTATCTTTTCAGCATTTATTTTAAAATTTTTTTTTTTTTTTTCAACGTTTATTTATTATTTTTGGGACAGAGAGAGACAGAGCATGAACGGGGGAGGAGCAGAGAGAGAGGGAGACACAGAATGGGAAACAGGCTCCAGGCTCTGAGCCATCAGCCCAGAGCCTGATGCGGGGCTCGAACTCACGGACCGCGAGATCGTGACCTGGCTGAAGTCGGACGCTTAACCGACTGCGCCACCCAGGCGCCCCTCTTTTCAGCATTTAAAGGAAAATTTTGAGATAAAATGAATACCAATTACCTGATCCATAATGATTAATTAATGTAATATTCCTTACTCAAGGACTTGATTCCAGCAACTATTTTAAGTTATAGCCAGGCATTTTTTTTTTGTTTGTTTTGAACAGGTAAAAGATGTCATGAAAGATGTCATGTCAGACCTGCAGCAGACAAACAGTGAGAAGATCCTACTGAGCTGGGTGCGCCAGTCCACACGGCCATACAGCCAGGTCAACGTCCTCAATTTCACCACCAGCTGGACAGATGGCCTCGCCTTTAATGCCGTGCTCCACCGACATAAGTGAGATATGACCTGACAAGATGTGGGCCTTACAAATTTGTATCTCCTCTCTGTCTCCCTCTTACTATTCCTCCCTAAAGCCCTTTGCCCACAATCACTGCTCTCCTCTCTTCACACGTTTAAACATGAAGAAAAGAAACATTATGGAAGAAAATACCCATGGAGTCTTTATTTCCATAGGATTTAAATGCCACAGTGCAATGTCCATGGTTTCTTCTACATATTTACACGTTTAAAAAATGTAAAATAATTCACATAGTTCAGTCCCACTCACTCAGCACTAACCAGTAATATATATACTGAATTGTGTTATGTTTTCATTCTCATACCAAAAGGGAAACTCTATAAATCCAATGCAATTTCAATTAAATATAGATAACTGATTTGTGTGTGTGTGTGTGTGTGAAACTTGTAATTATATAAAAGACCAAAGGGGCAAGAAGAGCCAGTATATTCTCGAAGAAGAACCAGGCCGAAGTACTTCCGAAACAGAAATAAAAGTAGTTATGAAGCTATATTTATTAAGACTATATATATAGTCTATAAATAAGTACACAAATATAATAATAGGCTGAACCATGTGAAATTGCCAACATTTGACTGTTTTGACATATAAGAATGGCAGTTTCATATAGTTCAGCCTAACAGGATAAAAAACTCAGAAATAGCTTCATCCTGCTATACACCTGAGCTAATGTTGCAGATTAATAGTATGGGATAATTGGTTACCCATATGGAAATAAGTGTATTGGATCTTTACCTCCTTATACCCAAAAGAAAATTCCAGATGCATCAAGGATTTAAATATGAGAGGCAAAATTTATTATATGTTTTATTGCTATTGTAAATTATTTAATGTTTCAGGTCCTGTTTCATGTAGGTTTTTTGCTGATATATAAAAAATGTAATTGACTTTTCTAAATCTTAGATCTGGAAACTTGTTAAACTTTCACAAATTTTACCAAAATGTTTACAAGTCTTACAAAAATGTTTCTTCAGTTTTTTAAAAAGTTTTTTTTAATGTTTAATCATTTTTTGAGAGACAGAGCATGAGTGGGGGAGAAGCAGAGAGAGAGGGAGATACACAATCTGAAGCAGGCTCCAGGCTCTGAGCTGTCAGCACAGAGCCCAATGTGGGACTTGAACTCATAAACCTTGAGATCATGACCTGAGCCAAAGTCAGCCGCTTAACTGACTGAGCCACCCAGGTGCCCTGGTATATATATTTTTTTAGACTGTCCCTGAATCATAATAGTTTCTTCTCTTATTTTCTCTTACCTCCTCATTTATGCCTTGTCCTTCAATACAATATTGATTTGAATTGGTGATAGAGAACAGAATGTTTTTTTCTACATAGTGAAGGGTGTGGTTTCAATGTTTTACTGCAAGACTAATATTTACTGTAACTTTTTTTTAAATATACTTTTTATCTAGTTAACAAACTCCTACACCCAAGTGTCTATAGACCCTACACTTCTCCTTTATTAGTTTAAGAGGGTTGGACTCTGTTCCTAGTTGGTTTAGAAATGTTATCAAGTAACTAGAATTTTAGCCAAAACTTTTACCCAACTATTATTTAATTGATTCAGCAAGTATATATGGAGTGCCTTTTATGTACTATATACAGCATGTGTAGCAGAGAACAAGACAGGCAAAAATCTCAGTCCTCTTGGAATTTCTGTTCAAATAGAGGGGGGGAAGACAATTAAATGAAAATGTAAGTTGTATAGCATATAGAAATGGTAAATGCACTGAAGAAAAACATATTGGGCAAGAGGGGAGGAGGTACCTGGCATGCAGGAAGTCAGTGGGTGCAGGGGCATGAGTAGGAGGAGAAATAGGAGATGAAGTCAGAGAAGGAACTGGATCTGAGAGTAGGGGAGGCAAGTCCCAGAAATTAAGTGGGTCTAAGATGTAAGAAAAGATAGAGTACAAAGAAAATGATCAACTTTTGGGTAAGACAGAGCAATAACAATGTCCAATTTGTGGGATTAAAAGAAAATCAAGATAGAAAGGAAATATTAGACAATGATAGTATGGAGGAAGATGGATGGTGAAAAGTTCTCTCAGGGCCTAGTTGTAGGAGTATCCCGTGAGCTGATCAGAGCTGGATTTTCTATTCTGCTAATCTTGGTCTTTGAATTGGACAATTTAGTCCATTAACATTTATTGTAATAATTGATGTGTTTAGGTTCATTTTTACCTCTTGTTTTAAGCTTTTCATTTCTTTTACCTTTTTTGTATATTTTTTCTTTGCTGTCTTGTATTGATAAGTTACTCTTACCTTTTTTTCTTTTACTATTTGGGAAATATCATATACCATTTCTAATCTTTCAGTGGTTACTTCATAAGTTTTATTCAGCATATTTGACTGATACAAAAAATTTAGACTCTTTTACCTATTGTTTTGTATTGTAAATTACTTTAAAAAGTAATATGACAAGTCTTTGAGATATAAAAGATAAATTTATTTTTATTTTAATGTTTATTTATTTTAAGAGAGAGAGAGAATGCACACACATGTGCAAGTAGGGGAGGGGCGAGAGGCAGAGAGAAAGAATCCCAAGCAGGCTCCACATTTACAGTGGGGATGTGGGGCTCAAACTCATGAACTGCGAGATTATGAACTGAGCTAAAGTCAGATGCTTAACCGACTGAGCCACCCAGATGCCCTAAAACATAAATTTCTTAATTTAAACTCACAGTGAAATAATCTAAACCTGAAGTGTATTAGATTATAACAATGACTATATATTAGGTTACAGCAATGTCCATATATTTCATCTTTACTCAGTTTTATTTGCATGGTAATTTCAGACCTGATCTCTTCAACTGGGATAGAGTTGTCAAAATGTCCCCAATTGAGAGACTTGAACATGCCTTCAGCAAGGCTCAAACTTATTTGGGAATTGAAAAGCTGTTAGATCCTGAAGGTATTGTTCACTGTTTAATTTCAACCTTGATTTTGCCTTTTTAAAATTTTTTTCTTTTTGGAAAGAATAATGAGAATTGTGGTGTATTTTTTCTTTTGAAATAGGGTGCAAGCCATTTCACTGCAGACAAGTTATTAGTACTGTTATACTTAATTTGTAGGATGAGTTGGGAGGAAATGTAATTATATCATTGGAGATTAGTTACTTGATACTAGCAGCATAAGATTTAAAGATTTAGGAAAATATAATTATTAGGGAAACAATTTAGTATTTGACTTATTTAATGATACATTTTTATATGATCTTCTTGCATATAATGTGAAAACTTTAGTTACAAATATTGTAAAGTTCTAGACTTATTTTCATATTATAAATAAAGTCCGTGTCATCTTTTTGTTTTTATTTATTTTTAAGAGTATTTTTATTTTTGAGAGAGAGAGTCAGATCATGCGCAGGGGAGGGACAGAGAGAGAGGGAGACACAGAATCCGAAGCAGGCTCCAGGCCCTGAGCTGTCAGCACAGAGAGCCCAACAGGGGCTTGAACTCACGAACTGTGAGATCATGACCTGAGCTGAAGTTGGTCACTTAACCAACTGAGCCACCTAGGCACCCCAATAAATTCTGTGTCATCTTAAATTGTAGTTTATCTTTGAACATTTTTGGGAAGCTTTTAGGGGAGACTTTTAAGAAGTGGGATATTGAGCAAAATAAATAATCGTCTTTGCCTTTGTTTCATATATTATTATATGACATAGAAATTTACTGAGCTATGGTATTGCAAGCATTATGTACTAGTATTGTTTATGGGTACCAAGGGTGGTTATTTTATATCTAATATTGAGCGATTCACATATTTTGGACATCTAATTTAAGCTGGTTCTTATTTTCTTCCCCTTTTAGATGTTGCTGTTCAGCTTCCTGACAAGAAATCCATAATTATGTATTTAACATCTTTGTTTGAGGTGCTTCCTCAGCAAGTCACAATAGATGCCATCCGTGAAGTAGAGACACTCCCAAGGAAATATAAGAAAGAATGCGAAGAAGGAGAAATTAGTATACGGGTACAGGTCAATTTTTAATAAAAAGTTTGACTTGCCATATTTGTTTTCTCTTACATACTAGATAAAAATACTTTCAGGGGATTTTTTTTCTTGATGGAGAACATCTTGGCTTCTCAGCTTACATAGGCACAAGAAGTTCAGTTTTTCAATTAGCATGCTTTCATATGTCATATGTATGCAATGGAGAGCTGTAGCTCAACTGATTTTACTGAGAAGGAACACACATCATTTCACACAATAAGGCTGGAGGTAGAGTCTAGGGCTGGGAGCATACAGCTGCATGATATGCTTAAGAACCTACATTTTCCCATCATGTATTCATTTTATCTTTGTTGTCGTGTGCTGAAGTTGGCTTTTCTCCTATTAGCCTAGTTTTGCTCTAAGTACTAATTTTTTTTTTTTTTTTTGGCCACTGAAGAAAAGATTTTTATCATTATATTTTCACAAGGGCTATCAAAACATAAGCTTTAGTTCCTCTTTCATTTAGGAAGAGTAGTTGACAATAGGCTACTAGGTGAGTTTTTCATTGAAGGGCTTAAAATGGTTTTATTCATCAGGGTATAGATGTATTTTTGGGGAGAGATATAAAGTTATGAATTTTTCTTTCTGCATTATCCTGCCTTAAATCAATCTGTGTTTTCTTACTCTGCTTTAGTCTAACCAGTTCTTTTAATTCATAAAATGAGAATTTTAAGAGTTGGATGAAACCTTAAAAAGTCATTTGGTCCAAAATGTTAGCAGCCCATAAACCAAGGGATACACGTGGATTTCAGAATGATAAGAAATACATTTTAGAGAGAAAGCATGGGATTTGAAGCTCAAAGTTCATCTCTGTTACTGTTTGTTTTGGGTTTCTTACTTACCTTTTCAACCACAGTTTTATCTGCAAAATCTGGATAAAACCACCCTACTTCATAAAGGTAATTCAGAGTGCCTACAGTAATATTAAGAGGCACTCAGTAAGCAGCACCTATCATCATTATAACTTATAAATTTGTCTTGGCATTGCCATTCACTCATTCAACAAGTTCCTTTTTTAAAAATGGGGCCACCTGGGTGGCTCAGTCGGTTGAGTGCCTGACTCTTGATTTTGGCTCAGGTCATGATACCAGGGTCGTGGGATTGAGCCCTGCATCCACACTGAGCCTGGAGCCTGCTTGGGATTCTCTGTCACTCTCTGTCCTTCTGCCCCTCTCCCACTCACTCCCTCTTTCTACCCGCCCCCGCCCCCCCCCAAAAAAAGTTAGTTAATTCTCATATAATGACATTGTTCTTGCGATCAGCATAACACTTTTTTTTTTATTCTCTAAAGCTCGGAGAGCTTACTTATTATTTCAGATTTTCTTTGGGTAGTAGGTACCAATCCTTTTATTTTCTCCAATTTGGAATACATCATGATTTACAAAAAAAGAAAATAACTTATTGAGGGAAAGAGGTCAAGAGATGTGTCCAATTCTGAACCCAGGACTCTTTATTAGTTTTGAAAATCAAATGATATTGAGGAAAAGCCCTAATGTTTTATAATTGACTGAAAAAAATGCTGAGAAGCATTTGTCTCTAGTAGCATAGCTATTATCCTTCATTAATGATGCACCCTGCTGAGCGGCTCAGATAATCTTCTGAGGTTGCCTTTTGGTTTTAAAATCACTTCTTGATGGGATCGGAGTCCCTCTTGTTACAAAGATGGGATATTTTACTTTGCTTAGTTAAGGCCATACTTTCTTAAAAAGCAAGAAAGTTTCATTTGCCTTTCATGATGTGTGGATAAAATAATCATTTCTCTTTAGTGCTCAGGATTACATGATAAGAATTGCGGAAGCCGTTTGCTTTTTGATTAAGAGCCAGTGTATTAACACTAACCTCTTCATTTGCATGCTTTCATTAGTGCCTTAGAGGCTGAAATAAGTTAATTGAAGAAATAAAATATGCTCAAGTTTTAATCATCTACCCTTTGATGGAGTTTGCCACCCGCTACTTTCCAGTGAACACTGAGAGCCAGTCTTCCTTTCTGGCTCTTCCTACAAAACATATGCTGTAGAGCCATTAGGTGGTCAGCAAAAAATATTCGCATTTCTCTATAAATCAAACTTTCAGTTGAAAGTCTCCTCTCATGTTTCACTTAATACCTTCTGAACATTTGCAGTTAAATAATGCCTTCCACCTCACCCCTCATGAATACTAGTGCCTATCTAAGTGACTGTTGGCTGGTCACTAACTGTCCTTGTTCTCAGGTGTCCGCATTGGAGTATAGAAGTTTGGTAGTCACTTGATCTCCAGGGTTATTTTGTCTCCACAGTTTCAGGATTTTAGGTCCAGAACTTACCTCATTTTCCCTTCTCTGTTGTTGGCACCATCTGTGTCTTAATTATCCAGTGTTTCATCTGTGTGCTCCCTGATTCATCTTTTTAACTCCTGCAAATGGTTTACGGGGTCCGTTTGATTCTTCCACCAGAATGTTTTTGGTGTGTGTTTTTTTTCCGTTGCAGCCTTCATGCTGATCAAAAGCCTCATCTTCTCTTATAGTTTACAAGACCCAGACTACCTCTGTAATTCATCTCAGGCCACCGCCCTGTGGTCCTGGTGGACATTTCCCTTTCCTTCCCAAAGATTTTGTGCATGTGGGTTCCCGTCTATGAAATGCTCATCCATCTACCTACTATTTGCATGGCAAGCTCCCCGTCTTTTCTGTTTCGATGGGACTTTTTCAGAGAAGTCTTCCCTGATTAACCTATTGAAACCCTACACCCACACACCCACATGCACCCCACCCCCCCACTGTTTCTTGCTGCCACAATATTTTTGTAAACTGTTAGGAATTTTATAATGTTTCCTAAGAGCGTTGGGAAAGCTGTGAAAGATTTTAAGCAGCAAAGTCTTATGATGTGATTATGTTTTCCAAAGATAGTCCTGCTGCTGTGTGCGAAGTGGATTGTAGAGGTGGGAGTGTGGGAGGCAGTGGTTAGCGGGCAGTTGTAGCTCTGAAGAATGACATCAGTTTTTGTGGAGATGGAAGGGTCTTGATGGATTTGAGATAGATTTTGAAGGTAGGGATTGCTTACACATTAAATGTGGGAGGCAAAAGTCAGAGAGAAGCGTGGGCTCCCTAGATTTTTCGCTGGAGGAATTAAGTGCCATTCCAATGGGAATGGATGAGACCACTGAGGCGAAGTAGACAGAAAAGAAAAAGGGGCCCAAGACTTAATTTTGAGATTTGTTACTTAGAGGTTGACAAATATTATTTAACCAGGAAGGATGCCAATGTGGTGTTACCGAAGCAGGGAGAGGAGAATCTGAAAATAGTGGGGGGTGGTCAGCCATGTCAGATGTTACTGAGAGCTTAAGAAACTTTGGGTGACTAGATCTCTGGGTTTGCTTGGAATAGTTCTGGTTTATTTGTGTCATCCTACCACCATTATTATCAAAAGTGTTCTAGTTTGTTGGTTAATTACATGGTCAGTCTAAAGATGATGCTAGAAAAGTGGATTTGTCAATGGGAAGGTAATTGGTGACATTGACAAAAGCCTTTTCAGGTGAGTAGTGGGGACCAAAACCAAATTGGAGTGAACAGGATTGTTGAGAAACTGTAGGTGCTAAATATGTGAGCATTTCATATATTGTTCTCTCTATATTTTTGTGTTTGAAATGTGTATAAATTGTGGATGAGAGGTAATAAAGTGGAGGAAGGCTGTACACAAATTTTAATGAAGTTTGCTCTGAACGGGAACAATGAGTGAGATAGTTGATTTGGTTCTAAGATTCTAAAGTGTATGAGAAAATACTCCATTGCTTAGGAAGAACTTAAGATGAATTTATTCCACGGGTCCTTAAAAAAAGGCCAGCAAGTAAACTTGAGGGCAACTGCCTCAAAAAATACCATTGGTACAACAGCCTACATGTGTGGCTGTATTTCATTGTCTAAAATGTAATGCTAAATGCAATTCAGTAAAACTGAGGGTCAAAGCAGAGTTCCAATTTCTATTTTTCTTTAAATTATATCCATCCTTGAAGGCCCCAAATGTTCCAAATTCTCTGTAAAATTTTCCTATTTTAGCCCTTGTTGAACTCAAATAGCATCCCTTGTTGTATCCATGGCATTTATAACTCTGCTAATAGCCATTTTATTTTTGTTCAGAAGTGATTCATGTGGGTTATTTCTCTCTCTCCAACTATATTTGAATCTCCGTGAATATAGAATCCATGAGTGTATTGCACTTTTGTACCCCTTGTCTTCCTAGCATGCTTAATAAATGCTTCCTGCCTGATTCATGGCTTTGCTTGCCCAGCTCCTGAAAATTGGATGAATGCCTGAGTCATGGTGGCTCCTCCCTTAAGGTTCTCCATAACAGTGTGTCTTTGTTGAACACCTTCATGATGCTTGTGGGTATTTCTTGGGTTTGTTTTTCTAGAGCTCAGCGCCGGAGGAAGAGCACGAGAGTCCCCGAGCTGAAACCCCCAGCACTGTCACCGAGGTGGATATGGGTCTGGACAGCTATCAGATAGCCCTGGAGGAAGTGCTGACCTGGTTGCTTTCTGCTGAGGATACTTTCCAGGAGCAGGATGATATTTCCGACGATGTGGAAGAAGTCAAACGCCAGTTTGCTACCCATGAAGTAAATAATCCGTAGCTGAGGAGCAGAATACGTCCACCGTGGTGGTGCCTGTGCCTTACTCAGGGGCTCTACCCTGATGTTTGTTGCCTACTGAATTCTGCTCCACAGAATGGTCATGATATAGTTCAGGACTTGTGGTAGTTAAATAAGGCTCTGTTATAAAATTGGCCTGGGTGATTATCTGTGCCTTGGAAATAGATTTCAGATCGTACTCTTATCATGACTTGTGTGTTCTGTGGAGCCACTGACAACAGTTAGTGTGTAGGACTGCTTGTTTCTGAAGCTATAGTTTTATTGTAATAGTTAAAACAGCATATGGCTAATCAATGCACCAGATCTTTAGGTTTTGAGTGTTCCCTAGAAAGTGATTATTTTTATTGATTGGATGATGAAGCAAATGTCGTATCCATTCCTGTGTAATTTTCATATAATGAAAATTTCCTATTATTTTGAGGATATATGTTGTAGGGTAATGATTTGATTACATGGAGATTTCTTTTTGATTAGTAGGTTTTTGGGTGGGTATATTAATTGGCAGGTTTTTATTTGCTATTTTGATTTGACAATAATAGAAATGGTAATATTCCTTGAGCGGTTCCTCTTGGGTGAGCATTGTGTTTTATTTATTCTGTTTTCTCATAATTCCATGTTCACAATCAGTAGCATAATCAACAGTTATTTAAAAATAGCTGGTATTATCAGATGTAACATTGTCCTCTTTGATCTGTTCCCCTTTCTACTGAGGCCAGCTGCGTATTTTCCACCTTCAGAGCTTAAACAATCGGATCAAAGTCTACTTTATTTATACTCTACATGGAGACTTCTTTTCCTGAAGCGTTAATATTAGGCATTAACAACTTATTAAGATTTTTTTTCTTCAATGAGCAGCTCACAAATCATAATGATGTACCTTTCTAGGATTTTATGATGGAGCTGACAGCACACCAGAGCAGTGTGGGGAATGTCCTGCAGGCAGGAAACCAGCTGATAACACAAGGAACTCTGTCAGATGAAGAGGAATATGAGATTCAGGAACAAATGGGCTTGCTGAATGCTAGATGGGAGGCACTTAGGGTGGATAGTATGGACAGACAGTCCCGGTGAGTGAAGCGAGATATTAACACTCTATTCCATTGACTGCATTGCGTGGTTTAGCTTAGTAAAAGCCTGAGTGTCTGTGAAGAGAAGATAATTTCAGAACTTGCCTTGTAAAATTTGCACTTTTCCTTTTGTAATGTTGCTGGAATTGTGTGCGATCTTTGTTTCCTCTTTGATACGTTCACCAAATGAGAAGGCAGAAGTTGGAATACAGAAATTAGCAAAAAAGGAGAAGACATTTCGTGTGGATAGTTATCTCTTTGCAGTATTAAAATCGGCTAACTTTTAACTGGAGACGAAGACTGGACTATGTAGTGTTTATCGACAATTCCATCTTGTAACAGTTTTTAAGGCAGTGTTTTTCCCATGGTTCATTTTATTTCATGTATTGTGTATTAGGGAGCAAGTGGCATTCCATCGCAATTTCCACCTATTTAATAAGCAGGAATTCCTGATTGAAGAAACAATGATTCTGATATGAATAGAGGGTGCTGTTATTTGCATTCTTTGACCATACTTAATGGACTCCATTTAGGAAGAAAGTAAAAGTTTTTTTTTTTCTTGTTTCTATATTGAAAGACTAACTGCTACTTTAAATGGTTAGACAAGACTGCATTCCCTTGCCCCATTTCTTTGGTGCCTGGAGCATGTGTTTGCCTTTGCAAAGGGAAAAAGGAGTGGGGATGACGTGTGTTTGTCCCCGGACAGGCTGCACGATGTGCTGATGGAATTGCAGAAGAAACAGCTGCAGCAGCTCTCCGCCTGGTTGACACTCACGGAGGAACGCATTCAGAAGATGGAAACCTGCCCCCTGGATGATGATTTAAAATCCCTACAAAAGCTGCTAGAAGATCATAAAGTAAATCTGGCTCCTATTTCTTTTAGACCGTATCAAATATGAAAAGGCAGCACTTAGCATGCTAGGGGCTGATGGCTTCTATCATTAGTGCAGGGATGGGACACTTCTTCAGTGTTCTCGATTATTCCGTATGGATAGGGTGGAGCTCGTGGGGGCTTTTCCAAGCGAGGGATGAAAGTGCAGGTACAATTTTGTAGAAGGATGTATCGTTTCAGTATGAAAGTACTTAGTGTTCCCAAGGCTCTCAAGAATTTTTGTTTTGGATGTGTAGGTGGTTAAAGACCCTAGTGTATTGGCATTAATGCAGTGTGTGGGTAAAGAAGCAAACCCTCAGATTTATCTGTACCTGGTCCTTTAATGAAAGCTGTGTTTCTTCTATGTTATAGGAGAATATCAGGCACTAGATGAGGAATCATAATTTGGTGGTTAATTTAATTTGGTCACACAGTTAGAAGATAACTTTAGAAGCAAAATAGCTTCTCCGCAAATTGTTTGAAAACTTTTAGTTTTCAGTGGAATATCTAGACAACTGATAGATAAAACTTTAGGGATACATTAAACACAATTTAAGAGGCATTTGACAACACTATTGGTAGTGTTTAAGTAATTACCTATATATAAGCATCTTATGACCTCGCATACTCTTCCCATGGAAGAGGAGAATGGAAGGCGTCAGTATATTCTGAATTGCTTTCTTGGGTAGCTCATCTGAATAGCTTCTGACTGTCAAATAGCATCCTACTTATCTCTCAGCTTACGTTATGTTGCACTAAAATGATCTCTGACTCTGTATATGTAAGGTTTGTTTTTTGTTGTTTTTTTTTTTTTGGTCTTACAAATTCTACGTTCTTAATTTCTAGTATATTCATTCAAGTCATCTATTCTACTTTTTTTTTTTTTTTTGCCAGAACATGGACTAAAAGTGATGATATCCCATTTGCAATCTGTTATGACACTGCATTTTCAATCTGCTTTGGTTCATAATGAAATGTGAAGATGTATAAGGGACTTGTTTCATTAGTAGAACACTTAGGGTAATGATTGAAAATTTAAGCATGCTGTCTCATTAAGTGTCCTTAATTACTATTGACAGCTGAGTGGATTTTAAATAGGTAAATGTGAAAAGATTAGAAATGATGGTGTATCTTAATTCTTTTCTCTAGCGTTTGCAAAATGATCTTGAGGCTGAACAGGTGAAGGTAAATTCACTGACGCACATGGTCGTGATTGTTGATGAAAACAGTGGTGAGAGCGCTACGGCTGTTCTCGAAGATCAGTTACAGGTATGGACCCTGGAGACGGGATACTCATAAGGACCCTGTTGTCTGAAACCCTTATATGGCACCCCTGTTCTTCAGGTCCTGTATCACTTCTCATTTAGAAGAGTAGACTCACCTTTGGGGTGCCCGGGTGGCTCAGCTGGTTAAGCATCCAATTCTTGATACCAGTTCAGGTCATGATCTTGTGGCTCATGGGATCGAGCCCCGAGTGGGGCTCTGTGCTGGTGGGGCAGAGCCTGCTTGGGATTCTCTCCCTCCCTCTCTCTCTGCCCTTTCCCTACTGTGCTCTCTCTCTCAAAATAAAAATAAACATTAAAGAGCTTTAAAAAAGGGAGTAGACTAACTTTGAAGTTGTACTTCTGAGTTGGGGTCCTACAACTTGTGGGTTTACAAGAGTACTCAGCATCTTTCCTTCCCTTCAGCCCTTGGGGTAGATGGGCAGAGCTGCTTGTGGTCCCCAGCTTCTCCTGAAAAATGGAAACAAGCTTGGGAACCAATCTCAACAAGTGCTCTATAGATTTCTTGTTCAGAATTGCTTGAGGACTTTGTTGAAATGTAGTTTCCGGGTCTCCATGGAGACCTAAATCCCTGGGGGTGGGGCCTGTGGATCTGCACTTACGTGCATACTGAAATTTGAGAATTTCAGCCATGTAGAATTTAATATTCCTGCTTCTTTGGTACATCAGTGCATGAATTTCAACAAGAATTTTGGGAACCCCTAACAAAATTGTTGCTTTAGCGCAGAGGTTATAGTGTATCTTTACAAGTCTTTATTAAGAGGGTTATTGGTATTTTATTTGAACAATGTTTGGATTACCCAGTATGATGTCGCCAAATGGTTTTCAGTCACTCTCAGACTATAATCTTATCATATGAAATTCTTTTTCTTTTATAACCGTTAAAGTTGGCCAGTGGTTCTGAGAACTGCTGGTGTAGTACTACTTAGTTATTGTAGTAACCTGAGAGATAGGCATTCATATTTTGCCTGTTTCACAGTGAGGAAACTGAAATTCAGAAAGGTCATGTGATGCCACTGAGATTTAAGTAGGCATTGAATTTTCATGCCAAGATTGGAGACCTGTCTTTGGCTCTAACTTCTCTACCCTTTGCATCCTACAAAGCTTACTGTGGTATTAAATATTGAAATAGTATAATATGAATTAAATAATTCTTTGCATATGTAAGTAATGTAGAAATTAAATGTAACATTTGTCGATCATTATAAAATGGTGGTAAAATGATTTGTTGGGAAAGTCCTCATGAATATTGATTTTTAAACAAATTTACTTATTTAGCCCTATTAATACTCATATAAGATTATGTTCCTGATTTTTGTGTAATATAAACAGAACAAATCAATTAAGCATTTTTTTTTATTTTCTAGGAGCTCAAAACAGGTCTTATAAGGTTAAAAATTTTTTTTCATAATTTTGGCATTACATATGAAAATTTTCTTAGCACATAAAAGGTGGTTGATGCAATGAATTTTTTGAAAAGATAATTATAGCCTGAAAAATTTGAAGCACAAAAAGTAGATATGTATGCTCTACTTTGAAGATATGTGTAAAAATGTCAAATTCTTGTATAAAAACCGCAGTGATATGGAAAGAGCAGGATTTTGGAGTCAAAAGTTTAAAAGATAGGGGCACCTGGGTTGCTCAGTTGGTTAAGCGTCCGACTTTGGCTCAGGTCATGATCTCGCAGTTTGGGAGTGTGAGTCCTGCGTCAGGCTTTGTGCTGACAGCTCAGAGCCTGGAGCCTGCTTTGGATTCTGTGTCTCCCTCCTTCTGCTCCTTCCCCGCTCATGCTCTCTCTCTCTCTCTCAGAAATAAAGAAACTTTAAAAAAAATTTTAAAAAAATAAGTTGAAAAGATAGAGTTCTAGGGGCACCTGGGTGGCTCAGTCATCCAAGCGTCTGACTTCGGCTCAGGTCATGATCTCAGGGTTCCTGGGTTTGAGCCTGGTGTTGGACTCTGCGCTGACAGCTCAGAACCTGGAGCCTGATTTGGATTCTCTGTCTCCCTCTCTGTCGCGCCTGCGTGTGCACTGTCTCTCGAAAATAAATAAATAAATATTTATTTTTTTATTTTTTATCTTTTAATAATTTTTTCATGTTTATTTATTTTTGAGAGAGAGAGAGACAGAGCGTGAGCAGGGAAGGGGCAGAGAGAGAGGGAGACACAGAATCCGAAGCAGGCTCCAGGCTCTGAGCTGGCAGCACAGAGCCTGACGCGGGACTTGGACTCAAGAGCCGTGCGATCATGACCTGAGTGGAAGTTGGATGCTTAACCGACTGAGCCACCCAGGTGCCCCAGTAAATAAACATTTAAAAGATAGAGTTCTAGTTGTACCACTTTCTAGCTATGTAAGGTGAAATTGTTAAACTCTATGGAAATTAGTTTTTCTCCTCTACAAACTTACAGGATTTGTCTGTATTATTTTAAAGCAACTTTTATAAAAATATTTTTCATAAATTGCTACCCAGTAGTAAAGAGCAATGGATGGCATGAATTTCTTTAAGGATCATTATAACTGTCTTTTAAGATTCTGTTGACAAAGGATGGTTTCTTCCTTTACTAGAAACTTGGTGAACGCTGGACGGCAGTGTGCCGTTGGACTGAGGAACGTTGGAATAGGTTACAAGAAATCAATATATTGTGGCAGGAATTATTGGAAGAACAGGTATGAAACTGTTATCCATAATGGGCAAGACAGATGGCGAAAAGTAACCTATCTTTAATTATGGCATTACAATAAACTTGTCTTGTTTACTTTACTTTGAAAGGCGAATACACAAATAATTTTTATTATTTTAAAAATCAGATTTCTATGTATTTTATAACTGATCATGTAGCTTATTCATAGAAATCTTATGACTTTATTGTAGTAACACTTAATTTGATGTGTTCATTATTTAGAATGTTAGTATTTAGACATTCTACATTCACAATTATGATTTTTCTTTATATTTCTGTTGGGTATTGTGTTTGAACTTGTATCAACACAAGGCCTAGCATTTTTAGCTCAGTAAATAATGAATAAATGGATCCACTCACTGCTTTGTGAATTTTAAATTTTTTTTTTTTTTCCCAACGTTTTTATTTATTTTTGGGACAGAGAGAGACAGAGCATGAACAGGGGAGGGGCAGAGAGAGAGGGAGACACAGAATCGGAAACAGGCTCCAGGCTCCGAGCCATCAGCCCAGAGCCCGACGCGGGGCTCGAACTCACGGACCGCGAGATCGTGACCTGGCTGAAGCCGGACGCTCAACCGACTGCGCCACCCAGGCGCCCCTACTTTGTGAATTTTAAATCACAACAATTTTTCTTGATTTCAACCAGAATAACTACTGAAATTAACAAGAAAAGATTATTTAGCGATACCATTCATTTAATACTGGGTTAATACTATTTTTTTTCCAATACGGATTCCAGCAGCCAATGAAATTTTGGCACAAAGCTGCCTCTTTAAGTTTTCAGTCAGAGTGGTGGCCCTTGGCCCACCTTCCATCCTTCCAGAAGAACAACAATCCAAACAGAATACAAATAAGCAAAACTTTTCTCCCAAAATGTCAAACATTTGTGGTTTTCGAAAATAAGCAGATAGTTTATTCCCACATCTCAGTGTCCGTTTAGATTCTTTTAAATGCATTTCATTTCCATCCACAAAAAGCAAGTATATTCTTTTCAAGGAATAAAAACAAGTGTATGATGTTTTGTGGTTTACTAAATATGGTGGCCGAGAAAACATCTTAAAAAGTAGGTTGCAAAATTTGTCCCCGTGTAAATTGTTAATCACTACCTCCTGCCCCCAATCTTTGGCCAGAATTTTCTTATTAAAAATTCTATGATGGATCTTATTCTGACTTCTGAAATATTTACATTTCACTTTATAAATATTTACATTTACTTGGACCCTCGTATTCAGGAAAAGGAGTCACATAGAATAGTTATATTTTACTCCAGTAGTGACAGAAGACACTGATCATTAGAAAAGACCTTTGTGTTACTCTTCTACTGAGTAATTTAAAATTTGGAAGTAATTTAATTTAGCAATTAAAAATATTTTAAAAATAGAGAGTGACTAGTATTTTGGCCACTTGTCTTACTGTAGATTTAAAACTAACCTTTGAATGGCTTTCGCTAGTGTTAGGGTTGGAGGAATCGTGTTAAGATGTAGAATTGGAGCCAACGATGGTACTTAATATATACATGATTTGCTTTTGCATGGAATGAGACCAAATAAACTTAATCTGAATTAAAAAATCTTTCAAGGGACTATCATTCACTTGGTTGCAGAGGCTTTAAGGTAGTTAGAAATGGGATCTGAGAATTCCAAACTTCTCAGGATAGGCCAATTTCAAGTGTGGCATGTAGGATATTCTGTAAGGGGTTCCAACCTACCTTTCCAACTTTGATTTTCCCTCTGTCCTTCTGTGTACCGAGGTTCAGATGCTGAGTTCTCAGCTCATAGCCCATTCTTAGTATGTCAGTGCCACATGAGTAGTGCTGGTTCTTCTTCAGGGTTCTGTTCCCAATACATTGCAGATTGTAGATTCCTCATAGTTTGTGTTTTTTTTTTTTTCATGTTTTTGAAAGA